CGCCCAACCACCCATCCAGTTAGCAGGAAACATAGTGGGTTTATGGGAGTTAGTCATGCATGTATTCTACGGACTTTAATATGCAGCGTCATCCGATCGTCAACTTAGGCATGTGGTGAATTTGGGTCTGCCATAACTGGAAATCAAACACATACAGTCCGGTAATGATGGTCGCCTGTCCAAAATCCCCGCCCTGGTTGATTTCTGCTAACGACGGTTTGCATGGAGGACCTACAGACATGCGAAAGATATGCTGTAACCACTGACAGTCGCACAGCTTACCAATTTAACTTTTCGCTAGCGTATACGGCTGGTATACCGCCCACGAAATAACTTAAAAGGAGCACCTTGTTCAGCTGCCGTGGACGTCCACGACTGATGTCCTCGCGTCTTACTCCCTCCCTGTAATAAGTACGTATAATTCAAAGCAGACTTGCGGACTGGAGACGACCGTTGCGACGGAGCCAAGCTTATTCGGTGTCACTATCAGCCGCAACGGAAGTATTGTTGGGGTATGGGAGGGGGGGAAGAGTGCCTTTAGAATTTGACCCAGGACGAAAATCAGTAGCTTTAATAGCATTCGGTGGAGTCTAGGTGTAAAATAAGGAAGCCCTCAGGTGACGAAAATCAGTAGCTTTAATAGCATTCGGTGGAGTCTAGGTGTAAAATAAGGAAGCCCTCAGGTCCAATGAATGGGCAGTAGCGATACTATTTAGGGAGCTGCTGCACACCGATCTGGCAAACGTTGCCCGCCGCAGGGAGACGAAGGGTGGATCCGCGAATCCAGGAAATCGCCGCCCAACCAAACAGCATTATGTAACCACTGTCCAACGGATTTTTGAGCTGCCCGAGGTCAATGACCCGTGGATTCGGGTTACACTTTCTAGAAGCCAGCAGCGCTGAGAACAACTTGTCCGACAGATGCAACGTCCACCTAACCTACCGCCACGCGCGAGTACGGTTTTCAGCCACAAGACAGCAGGACTAACAACACAGCTGTCTCTTCTCAGAAGTATTAATGGTTCCCCCAAAGGTTAGACGTAGTCTGTCGAAAAAGACCAATATCTCTCAATAGCGACGCGAGTAGTGACCAAAAAACAATATGCCCTACGTAGCTAACCTGGCGTCCAAGTGCGGATGAGGCGCACTAGCGGGTGGTGAAAGGGGTGTGGTATCGGTAGGATGCCGATGCCTTAAATGCCTTGCAGCAAAAAGCTTATGCGTGTTGTAGTCTAAGAAACTATGTGAGAATAAAGGGGGACGGTCAGTAGTAGAAGTATAAACAACCGAGTGTTTTGGATAAAACGCTGGAATGTGCGCCCATGTGGGGCAAAAGTCAAATGGCGAGCCCCCCAATTGCGATTTTGGACTGCTGAAAGAACTGCCTTATTTACCGCGGACCCAAAGCAAATTGGGAAGACTAACAAGGATGACCGGAAGATCCCAAAATTCGCAGCGGATGAGCGAGATAGAAAAGGGCACATATCATACGCCAAAACTTTGTTATATATTTCTCGAGTGAAAAAGTCTTGTACGAGACCGGTTTTTAGTCGAACTTATTTTTATGGCAAAGTAGGGAATCGGGTAAACTGTCAGAGTGAACACAAGAAATTGCTATTTACGAGAATTTAATTAAAAAAATTACAAACGCTGCCATCGACAGGCAAGCCTATTTTGCGTTTAGAAACCCCTCCATAAACAAAGGTCTCCATGAGAGAACACAAAAGATCAAAACACTCGGCTCCTTAAAACTGCGATACAAAATGCCCGGTATCCCCAGGTCCAAAAAATGTATACTGATTAGCATTAAACAGCATAATTGACGAACGGAAGCTAAGTTATGCTAATATTGGCATTAATGACG